TACGTCTGTAATCTTCACATTTCATAAAAGGACTTAAGTGTCTCGTGTAACTGTCAAAGCGAAACTTCCTGAGAGAAGGGCATGGTTTACTTGGGATTTACAGAAGAGGAGCATCAACAAAATTAATATTCAAATAAATGATGTTTGTCGATGTAGGCCCAGGAATGACTGAAAAGATTACCAGTTGATTGTCAGGGTCAAGATAAATTTGAAATTTCATGGAAAGTACATTCTGGAAAGGTCTCGAATATGTTGGACTTTTAGAATTGTGAGAAATTGTAAAAGCCTTGAGCAGTTTGGAGACACAGAGCAGAAAAACGTCACTGTGATACAAAATCTTGCAACGGTCATCTTCATTGGAGATGATGTCACGATTCCTTTGTATATCATAATCCTTTCTTATCCCTCTACACTTTTGTTAAAGGCACGAACGTCCTCGCTATACAGAGGCGATTCACCGGGGCCTCACACGTCTCCCCCCCCCCACCCATCAGGAAAATGAGTTCTGTCTTTCTGTCCCAGCGTGACTTCTGGGTGAACGTCCTTAGATTGTGTCATCTCTTACGGCCTGCCGTCGTCCTGGCGGGTTTATCTTAGATCGCACGCCCACTCCTGACGGCTCGCGAGGTCCCCTCGCGCTGTCGTAAGAACCTGCTCTCCCTCTTCCACTATCAGCTCGTCGCATCGCCCCTTGCCCTGTCTTCGATCGGTTTACGTGGATGAAGAGAAAGTAATAAAAAAAATCCATTCGTTTCCAGTTCCTCACATTCGTCCATGCGTCTTACATTTCCATCCGACGACCGTTCTATATATCGCTTTCATAACAAGAATTCTTTCTCCGCTGAAAAGCGAGTTCGAAGACGTAAATTTCCTAGACTTCAGATAAAACAAAATGGAAGATTAAGACGATATGGACTGAATGCTGCCGATTGTGTATATCTTGTCTAATGTGTCATTGCAAAATTATTGTCAAAACACGGTGGGCTTATTGGACATTCTTATATTATTGTTTAGTTTTGTTAATTTTAATGATGTTTTCCTTCGCTAAGAGCTTGGGAATTGACAATTTATCTTGGAAGGGGCTGGTGGTGGTAATGAAAGCTGGCCTTACGTTAGGGACCCCGAAACTAGCAATACTAATGCGCCTCAGGATAACGAATCATGACATCAATCTAAGGTTTTTCGTGCGATCGAGCTTTCTCAGCTGCATGAGAGCCGTTTTCCTTCGTCTCTGGCACAGGCTCCACGGTACATAGCCCACGGTCATCAGCAAACGTGGAGCTGTTTGCTTCGCCCCGACGCGACGTGATCGGTCCATGAAAGCTGAGGGGCGCGGCCTAGCCGCGCCACATCTTGTACACGTGGAACACTATATAGAGGACGGTGCTGGCGCCTTCTTTCTGCTTAAACAGATAGATTTGTTCCGCCTGGGCTATCGGATCAGGTGTTGGGACAGAGACGGCGATCAGGGCTCGACCGCTGCACGAAGAGGACTTCTTTAGGGCGAGGGCGAAGGACGGGGGGGGGTTAGATATCACCCCGACTCCCAAGGGGAACCAGAGCTGTAGGCTCATTTATTCACCGACCTAGCCATGCGTAGACAGACCCGGGCGTCACAATTACAGATAATTCTTGAGAGAAAAACGCAAGGGAGGATGTACAATGGTTCCCCTCATCTTCTATCACATGAAAGACGATTTTACTCCCAAATGAGAAATATTATGTACACTAATCTGCGTTTTCTTGGAACGATATCAAGGAATTTGGAAAAGTAATTACACTGTGTGCAATTTTGCTCTGTAAAAACCTATGCAACCACAGACCCTCGACGGACCCTCTATGCGCGCCACTAAGCATCCCTGTGACTCGACCGGTCTAGTTTTATCTTCGTGTATTTACAACCACCCAGAAGGCATTAATAGCAGTATTCGGCTGGATTCTCTGAAGCAGCTGTATGGTGACGTCCAGTTGTGCTTTCAAACCAGTCTGTAAAGAGAAAGGATGCGCCTTAAAAGACAAAAATAGCCTGGCAGCTGCAAGCCTTAGTCGACGCGTGCGATAGTATTTTTGCAGTGGTATAACAGAGGGCGCCATGTCACATTTGGTGCTGCTCTTTTTGTTCAGTTTTTTTTTTGTTGAGCGGTCTTATTTCATCTGTCTGCTGTTTTGTAATGACGAAATGATTAGGGCGATCTTTCTGTGTGATCTACATAGGCATGCGCGGGAAACACTTACTTTGTTTTTGCTTTTCATTGGCCGTGCTTAAATTGCGGTCAAATATCCGGGACACCCAACACTGTGCATATGCAAGGCGCTGACTGCGCGGCCGATTTGCCTCAAATTGAATTTTGTGCAAGAAAGATCGAGCGTAGTGCTTAACTCCCGAATATTCTGTGCTCTCATGTGTATGTACCGTAGGGCTGACCTTGGGTCACAGATCATGTGAAAATCTGACAGACAACTCACGGAAGTTAAAACGTTCCCCTTGACCCGCGTAAAGGCGTTTCCATAATGCGCATGTCAGTTGCCTGGACTTAGGGTGTAAGTGTGGACTTACGTAAAACGTGGCAAACAAATGCAGGTACGGAACGGACCAGAAACATACATATCAAATCACGCTTTAAGGGCTATAATAGATTTAGGAACGAAACAAATGCTAATATTATTGCGCACCTATAGCCGGGTCAAAAATAGTGCGAAGGATGGAAAGTAATTCTTGCTGCAGCTGGCCATTGGGGGAACATCCATCCGAGAGATTAAACAAATCAATTTCTGTCACACAACCTGCCTATATAACCCTATGCACGAAACTCTTGAATGTTTAAAATGCAATAGCGACTCCCTGCACTACCAGCCAACTGAGTCCACACCTTCGATATTTATTAGTTTCGACCGCAGAGAGCGGGGAACATGGGATGCGTGACAACTCAGCGGATGGCGTAACTATACCGAGGCGGGGAAATATCGATCAAGATAAAAAGGTTGATGGTAAGTGGTCGGTGGGCATTTCTTTCAGCAAGGAATCTGGGCCAAGAACGAGAAAGTCGGGTAATTACTCCGCGGCGCGATAAGGAACAGATGACTGGCTGGATCAGTGAGAACGACTTGGAACGTTTTATCTTGTCACAGTCGAGCGGTAGCCGTTAAAGCAATGATTTAAGGATTGAAGACAAGGATTCCTAGGAAGGTATGTGTTGCAGAGCAAAATTGGAGCGAACTCGCCACTCCACAAGAGTTTTCAAACCCAAGCGTAAAGGAAACGCAAAGCTTTGCGAGTAGCCAGTGTCCCGATAACAGTTGAAGAGAACTGTGTTATACTAGTGTGTTTTAGACGGTTGTACAGTCTGACGGCAGGCACAGATCACGGTCAATTTCAGTCACTGTGCATGCTGTGTCTAACAAGTAAGGCAGGGCCCGCTCAGAGGAAAGGAGGCCGTAGCGCCCTCAGCAACTCAGCTCTAAATCGAATTCGCTGTTTATGAGGGCGCTCTCCAGCTACCCAATTTCAGCGGTATCCCTGAACGTATTGTATACATTTGAAAACCTGTAATGGTACCAGGTGATTTAGGGGGTCAGAATGAAATCGTAGAATACAGTCTGGTTCTTTCAATTTAACGTTTTCAAATGAATACGTTATGTTGGGAAATCTGACTGAAATTGGGTCCCCTGCGAATACGCTGGATACATGTTCACACATGTTATACACATGTATAAGCCCTCTGCTTATGCATGTAAATGTACATGTAGGCCTACCTAGTGCTTTGGCCTACCTTTGGCTTCGAGTTATGTAAGTGTACGATATGCAGTATCAGTGCTAACAATTATTCCGGTGGTCGGACTTCTGTGCATTTCTACATAGTATCGAAAAGCACGAAGGGGAATTTTGCCATTTGTGGTGTGTTAATTAACAGGCAACTCAGTGTCAGGGACGTCATGACAACCGCGAAACTTAATCAGAGAGTGGGCCAAGGCAAAACCCGTTTTGTTCACATCGGGATGTGTTGAAATCATAACTCCCACACATGTCCTGTGATTTTAATGCTGCCTAGCTGTACAGTTTATAAACTTGCTGAACTGTTCCACATCTAGGGTAGCTCACGGTAACAAAATGTGCATGGCTTCCCTGTCCCCACCCCCAAAAAACGACCAAATGCAATAAGCCTTTTGCGAGTTAAATCTAAATAAATCTGTTGCAAACTTTTGCTTAGTTACATAAGAGACGCCTTGCAACATAGTGGACAAGAAGGGCACAAAGGAACCAGTCCAGAGGTGGTGGTTACTGTGTTTATATGCAAAAGCTTACCCCGAATCACGAGGTATAGCAACAGTGTTTTAGTCTGGGGAATTCAAATCATTATGTTTATGTGCAATCAGATAACTCAGTGTACCAGATTTTATTCAAATTTAACTTGCAAATAGCTTATTCATATAGTTTGACTTCATTTTAGCGTGCAGTGTTCAAATTCAAGGAAATTCTCCGCCAAGCAGAAGCGCACAAAAAGTACCCTTAGGCCTACGGATTCTTTCGAAAAGAGGGGTCTGTTTGGGCCAAGAAATGGTGGGATTGTGTCAGTATGGCCCAGGATCATTTCTGTAGATTCAAGGCCACCCATCTGGCAATGCTGACAAAATGTGATTGAAAAGTTGTCAGAAGAGCCCGAGGAAGGTGAGGGATAACATTTGAAAAATGGCCGCTGAAAAGACTTGGGAACATTCACTTTTTGGGCCGGGGGGCTGAGTTAACTTAGCAAAAATTCAAAATCAAATGAAATCTGAAGGACCAAACAACACGTTGTTGTTTTTTTGAGAGGCCTGGGAACTTCAGTTGCCGGCAATGGGGCTCCAAACTTGGTTGATTTTACTCTATTTTCAATGGAGCTTGAATTGGTTCAGTGCACCCTATAGCTTCCAGACCGTAAATAGTAAATGGCGCCACCAAGCGGTAGGTTTTTTATGGATTTTCCCAAAGACTTGCAACCCTGACGTTTCAAGGTTCTTTCTGAATCAGTATTAACTAGCCTGGTGCTGAGGTATTTTGACCGGATCATGTGATGTTTACCAATGCAATATGACCGAAGTTAGCCGGCCCACGGTTACCTGTGCTGTAGTCAAGCATAAACTCTGGAGGTCGACCGACTATTGAAATGGACAGGTAATCAGTAATCTAATGAATGGATTCAACGAAAACCTATTGGTTGGACCAGTTGAGGGCAAATAGGAAGAACATGGCAAACATTACACTGGCTGAAAATGGTGAGAGAGAGAGCTTAGGACCGATCGTCGAAGGAACACAAGTAAGTCTTCACTCGGTAGGGCCCACTGACATGACCAGCAGTAGTTACTCTACACTGTAGTACTACTTGTACATGATATGTACATCATAGGTTTACCAAAAAGTACCACATGTAGTACTAAGTTAGGCCAGGAATGCGAGACAGTACACTCGCATTCCAAGTTATTCAGGTGTTGTTACATGTACATGTATGTAGATGTCACAGAAAATCATCATGTTCTATCACCTGACATCTTTTAACAAACCCTGTCATAGGCCCTGCCTGTGAGAAGTAAATTCTTCCTTTTTTCCCCGCAAAAAATGACTGTCATGACTGTTTACACATGGTTTAGGATGTCAGGATGTGCTATTGCCTTCTGATGGGTGGCCCATACCACTGTACTTTACTGTGATCCCATCCTATGCTAGTTATTGGCAACTCTTCCTAAGTTGTGGCTACCTCCAGAACGTTACTGTAGGGTCCGACGTCCGCTCTGCTCCCACGTGGGAGCGGCGCAGACATCGGACCCCACAGTTCTGAGGTGGGAGCGGGGCAGACGTTGGACTCCACAGTTCTGGGGGTAAGTTGTTGCTATGTTATTGAATTTGGTTGGCAACACTTTTTTTAGTATACTGATAGGACTCTGCCTCTATCATGTCTATGTGACATATATGCAACCTTCAATTTTCAAATGCTAAAATTGGTAAGCATTTCACTTTTCTGCCAGGGGAAGGGTTACTAACTTCTCTGTCATCAGTTTGAAATTTCCTCCCAAAAGTGGTATATCAGCCTGTGACGGGACTGTGTACCAGTCTGATTATGTAATTTCAAGTGCATTATGGGAAAGCAAGTCTCATAGCTTGTCAAGATGGTTCCTGTGACTTGATCATGTATACATGAGAATAAATGTGATTGTTGCTGGCTGTAATTAATGAGCCTCCAACGATGACCCTCATGCCCCACATTGCCATCTGAACCTGTATTGAGGGTACGCACCATTAGAAGTCATCAGCAAGTGATGACAAATAATCAAGTCACAACTAGAATCCTTGGATGTTCCCAGACCGGTATCATAGGGTTTGAGCTCCCACCCCCAAGTAATTAGCACAGCGTTGCTGCATTTCCTTCCCACCGTGCCTCTCTGCGGTATCAGCGATAAGGCTTATTTTGTTCCCAGTTCATGAGGCACTGATTCAAAGACCGTTTCAAAACCTTTTTTTTTGTCAATTCATCCTGCATAAAGAGCAAATTATGTTCAGAAAAGAACAAAAGGAAAGAAATCTCTCACTCAAACGTACATGTAGCTCATCAATCATGTCAACATACATGTAGGTATGCATGTGCTCAGTAGCCTTAGGGTACATGTTCGTGTGTTTATGTATATGTGATCCTTGGTATTATGTAGAGTCATTTAAGAGGACTCGACATTTCTGGTTTTGTTGATTTATTCTGGAGAATGAATGCGATGAAAGGAGACATTTTAAAAAGATGTCATCTCCAATCCGGTCAGTGTCCGAGTGACGCCGACGCGGCCCGCATTTGAAATATCAATAGTGCGATTGACTGGGAAAATGAATATTTATGAGGGATGAACAAAAGGATAAACATAATGAATATGGATGATTCTTCCAAAAAAACATACGGGGTATAAAGTTCTACGTGGTGATATACACGGCGTGCTGTACTCTTGTTCAGCTCTCACAGATGAATTTTATGTACATGTACACGTAAGATGCACAGGTTTGTCAGGAATCTTTCTGAATAAAAGAATCCAACATCTGTGAAGAGACCAATTGCAAATTTGGCACAAAGAAATTTTGGTTGGAGGGGCAGTGTGATGTTCCTTGTACACAGTGTACAGGTGTGTTACATGTAAAAGTTTCCAAGGACACTATTAAGCAGTATCAAAGTACAGTAACAGTGGCTGGACTCTGCCTTCCTCAATTATACCTTGCAAGTTACATATGTGGGACAGAGGGATTCGGTACCCCCCCCCCGCCACTACATGTCCAACACTCTGGACTAACATTTGTTACCTAACACATCCCCCCAGATGTCCTAAGATTCCAGTCCAACAATGACCAACAGAAGGGGGGGTGCTCTCTGCCACATATCTTGCTTCAACTGTCCTTTATCCTTTTCAATCCAACATTTCAAATGATTGACTAGGCTGGGTTGCAGATTGCAGATAACCATCCATGCACTATGCTTCAAGTGACGATCATTCTTAGTGAAATCTTTCAAGGTGTTCTTGGAGAGCTCAGCCACGGATATTGAAATCACTGGCTCTGGCTACATACATGTAAGCTGACATTGTCAAGCTTGTCTTCATGTAGCTTTGAAAACTGAAAGTTCCCTGAACCATCAGAACCAGTTTGGGAAGTTCTTGGTCTTTCCAGAATACTGCCACATCTTTGGATTCTCTCAGTGTATGCCAAGTTTCCATAACATTTACCTTTGCCTGACTGAGCCCGAGAGTGGAAGGATAGACCTACATTACATGTACAAGTACCGTGGTACATGTACATTATCTTGTGTACATTCTTGAGAAGCATTAAGCCTATTCACCAATTCCTTTACTGTCTTTTTATAGTCTACAAGTAAGTCACTCTGGTTTTTATTTTAATATGAACTAGAAAAGAGACAGAAATTCTAAACTTACTTCTTGCTATAGTATTTCTCTGATATTAGTCCAACAGTACAATGTACATGTACATATATCACTCAGTTTCCAAATGTTTGTATACAGTTTCAGTAGTTTTTAGATTGTCTGTTTTTCTAAATTCTCAACCATGTGTACTAGTACTAGTACAGTACTGTATGTACAGGTTTACATGTTCTTAAATATGTCTGACCTGTTGTCTGCATTGATCCATGCACACTATTGTAACTTGTACACTCTCTACGGCTTCTGAACCTCAACCCTTCCATTTGTGGTCTGTTGTGAATAGGACTGAGATTACAAGCCAGATTAAGCCATTGCATGCTTGTTCATAAGTGACTGATTGGTTGTTCATAAGTGACTGATTGGTGTCCGTTATCAGTGTCATGGCAGCAGATGGGAAATAGGGTATGGTGTAGGAGAGTTGGCCAAACGTTGAAACCGGGTGTACTTTATTCCTAAGTAGACTGTATGTGTCATTTTTGTATGTTATTTGAAAAGCAGCTAAAGGAACAACTTGTATCATCCATGCTTTTGGTACGGCACCCTGATTGATTGAATATCGAACATCATGAATTTCTCCAGTAAATTTCAGCTATTTGCCGGCACACCCTGAGTGGCTTTATTTGAAAATAAAAATGAGAGATAAAGTCTTACAACCTGAAATCTGTCTCTAAGAGCCCATAGATGGAATAAGTACTAGGTTATGAAATATTGGTACATGTACGTTTCCGGTCAGCAAAGAAATGTTTTAATTTCCTCAAGTTTGACATTGACCAAATAAGATGGAGTTTTTCAGGATAGTGACCATTTGGAATAGGGCCCTCATTAAAAGCAGTAGAATTAAAGTCTTACTGACGAGGCTGCCCTGATTAAATAAAACAGTAAATAAAAATAAATAAAACTCTTGAGACAGAGTGCAGATTGCCAAGTTTTTGTTTTTAATTTTTAGATTACTAGTTGTTCTTTCCGGATGAATGGAAACATTTCCAAATACAAGTATTTCTTTCTGAAAAGAATGGATTACTCAACCCTAAATCTACACACCAACTTAACTAAATAATAACGTGCTTGCACTTTCCAAAAAGTGGCAAAATTCAATTTCTTTGCTGTAAATTTTCTGCAGGCTTCATGGAAAGCAGAGAGTTTACAGTTCTGAATTTAGAGTAAGTTAGCAGAGTACGTAGCCAACTACATGTACATGTACCATACTCAGATGGCCTTGAGACTCTATTCATAGTTATTTCACATGGATGTATGTACTTTGCCACACAGTACATGTACATGAACGTGTCTGTGTATCGTGTTGGCAAAACACATGCACACATGCATTTTGGAAATTTACTTGCCAGTTGACTTTAGATTGGTTTTCCAATTTTGTTTTGAGTCCTTGCAATGATTGCCGGCTGAGAATTAACCAGTGTCGGACTGTTTTTGTTTCGGTTGATCATCTTTGCAGCTGTCATACCTTGAGCACAGTGCGACAAGGATACCAGACCAGCTGGGCCAGTGGTACGGCAAGCAAGTCACCAGACTAGACCTTAGCTTCAACCACATCAGGTACAGGTCTTGCATCCAACCTTCTGCCATTCTTTTTCATCTTTCTCAATTCCAAATATCGGGCTCACATGTAAGTCTGTTTTAAAAATGTGGGCTTCCAATTATGTTGGAAAACTGAAATAGGGGGGTATCTTTTTGTCAAGATATACACACACTTTCAGCACAAAATGGCAGAGGAAGCAATAACATGTACACACAAGCAGACATCAGATATTGTCCAATCCTTTGGCATATTTGTCAGAATACACATGTGTGTGTACATGTACGTATGCTGATCTACACCAGTTGCTCACTCACAGTTTACATATGACAGCTCAGAGAAAAGTTTGAGCAAGACCCTTACGTCAACAATAAATTTAGTTTTTCTCTGGTACCCAGGATGTATTTCATGCACAGGTTACCAGGGAAAATCGACTAGTGGTCGATGGTCACTGTTCAAATATACACACATGTAAACATGATATCTGTGTTGCATGTATGTACTGTATTGGACAGATTAGACGCTGGTTACGCATTTATAAATAAGCTACAGGGCAGGCCAAAGTCAACCAGGCACCTCACACTGCTGAAACCTTGTTGCTCACTTTATACCGGTACATTGGAAAAAGTGAGTGCTATTCACTTGCAAGTTTGGATTTCGTCTCGTGCTTGCCTTTGCCCTAGATGCAGTCATGTCTGGTTCATAGCTAATCCTCATCCTCAACGTTATACATGCCACTCCGCACGTACGTGTACGTGTATTGTGGTCCATGCACAAAACATCCCTTTTCCCCAAAGGTCATGGTATTTCAGGAAGAAAGGTTATGCAAGTCCTAGTAATGTTGATTTGCAGGCACACTGCCTTCGGTGCAGGATATCAAGCAATATAACACTTGACTTTTTAAACAGCTATTTGATAGAATACATGTGCATGTAATTCAGTCCAGTATGTACATGGACTAGTACATTTCACCTTCTGGAAGAAACAAATAGGCCAGTTACAGTAATTAATTACAGCAACTATTGTAACACTGCACCATTGTGGAATACCTGTAGTTATCAGTATTTACTTGTAACTGATATTCGCAATATGATATGAACCAGATACTGCATTAACCGGTTCACATTACGCGGAGTAGCCATCAATGATTGAACACAGTAACCGGTAATACCTTAGTACCAGACGGTAAAATAAATAAGGATAAAACAAACAAAACCTTCAACAGAAAACCACCGGCTTTGAATCGTCTTCATCAGACAAAATGTTTCGTCCAATTTGCCCAAAACTCTGGAATTAAATGAGTATTCATATACATGTATTTAAATAGTGGATTGGTATATGACAGCCTTGATTTCTGGTGACTCGTTTATGTTTCCTTGCCCGGCAGGTCGTTAGAAGGTCTGGAGAGGTTTGTCAAGTTGGAAGAGTTGATCTTGGATCAGAATGAGTTGACTGACTCTGTCGTCCTTCCACACATGTCCAAACTACACACGCTAGTACTCAATAAAAACAGAATATCCTTTGTTTAAGTTGGTTCATTACACTGCACCCGTAGATGAGCTACATGTCACTTTGCATTTGAAATTATAGTTTTGAAAATTTAAATAATTGACAAAATATTATCGAGTGAAACAAAATGCCTGAGAAGGGTCCTGACAACAGTATCAATGCAAAGGAGAACAAAAAGGGTAGAACTATGCATTGGAACCAGTCAACTGAGTGCCCGACCATTGATGTTAGGAACTGGTTCCAAAGAACTAAACTGGTAACTTTAAAGTACATTGTACTTCACAATAATGTAATAACTTCTCCCCAAAAAATGAAGTTTTTGAAAGGTTTGCAAGGGGACATTTTGAAAATTAAAAAGCTGTATGGAATATTTAAACCAATTTTATAGTTGTGAAAGAACAGAATTGGCAACTTGAATGCATTTCCTTGTAAGCTTTTCCTTTCCTGTTGCATTTTGAGCGTGAGGTTTTACATTTCCCAAGCTTTATTACAACAGGGTGCCCGTTTTCAAAACTATCCTTAAATGCGCACCACTGAAGTGCCAGATTTATTGTTTTATTGCTCAGAGAAGCATTTTTTCACCTGTTCCCCTGAGAAGATTAATGCAGGATTTTGGAAGGGTTGTCTGAGATAATGAAATAGTCTTAACAGTTCCTTGTTACATCAAAGATTTGGAGAGTCTAATGGATCAGCTCAAGGAGCGGTGTCCCAACCTGACGTATCTGAGTCTCCTAGGGAACGAAGCTTGTCCCAATGAGCTATCCAGCACAGACAAGGATGAAGACGACTACCAGAGATACAGGTAAATGCACTGGTTAATTGGCTCAGTGCTCATTGCAATCAAAGCCAGATCCAAATGAGAGACTGAGCTGTTAGTACCAGGCAAAATGGCGCAGTGGTTGGCAAATGGTTGTCGCTTGAATTTGTCCACTGCACAACAATTTATGGGCCAAGGAGAAATCTGCAGGGAGCCAGTCAGTGGAAATTGCTCTTACATTGTTTTGGTTGGTTACCTGTTTTTGTTGAGGAAATCCCTGGGTAAGTTCAGGGGATGACTGTGGTTTAACTTTAGTTGGACAAACATCGCCTGAATGAATTGATGGTTTTGACCAGCTAGTCAACCATTTGCAACCAGGTCTCAGGGGCATGGTCACACAGAATAACCAGATCTAGTTACCAGTGCAGAACCATTCATATGAAAATCATTGTATGAGATGTCATGGAGCACGAACGCTGTGAGAGACGCAACCACTGGCAGAGTATGATTGACGAGCAGAGTTTGACATGGCGCAATCAAGTGTATTTGCGTGCACATTTTTAAAAAGTAATTGGCTAGTGGTCAAACGATAGTTCACACCTTAACTTTCACCTTGCAGCGCACAGCACATTTTTTTTTTTTTCAGGAGCTCTGTGAGACAGTGTTGTGGTCAAGTCCAGCATAGTTGATCCAGCCTCAAGTCACAAATTATGGAAATAAATATCGGCACAGAGATGAATATAAACTAAGCAGCATTGCCGTCTTTTTTTTTTTTGGCCTGATCTTTCAGATATTACGTGGTGCACAGGTTACCAGGATTAAAGTTCCTGGATTCCAGACAGGTGACCCAGAAGGAGAGAAAAGAAGCAGATAGGGTGGGGTCCTACATGAGGGTGGTCCGAGTCACGGCAGATGAGGTATGAAGGTCAAAGGTCACTCAATTAGTATCAGTGCACTCAGGAAGAAAGACATCTCCTAAAACGTGTATCCATGAAGATGTCATGATTGCTGTGCTACAAAAGGACATGAATTTGCTATTTCTGAAATTTGAGGAGTATTTTCTTGCCCTATTGGTCAAAAAGGTGTTTAACATCAGAACATGGCTGTTTGTACGGTGTCCAATTTTGATCACTAAATAAGTTTAATGAGCTGGTTCAGTTTTTCAGAAAGGCAAGGCCCTTTGACAACAAGATGCCTGATGTCAGGCCAGTTTGAACATGTTTAGTGTGTGTGAGTTGGTATATGGCGGCATTGAAAGAGCATATTGATGTTCTTGAATCACCTGCAAAGCTCGCCATTTTGAGCTATTGGAATATCTAATTTGCCCATTGAAGAAATAGTCATAACAATTATGTAATTGACATTATATCGAAAAGTGCTCCTTCCCTTGCCTTATATAGGATCCGCACAATTCTCCGGATTCCCCAGACGGTGGTCACCAGTCTTACAATCCCTTGCCAGACACAACTAGACCAACTGATAACCACCAAGGTATGGCTTAGACTGGTATACCTGTCCTCATGCATAATCACAGGCATTGGTTGCTGTAAACCTTGTTGATCATTGCTTGCTTTCCCTTAAATCTTGCTTTTGGATGTTTGATTTGCCTAGATTTGACCTACGCACAGATGTTGGTACCGTGTTGTTTAGGTTGGCTTAGTTCTTCAGGTGAACTTTGGCATGTTTGGGCTTACTCTGCTTGCTTATGGCTTGGTGACCGGCTTTATCGTCACTGTGTAATTATTTTGTCCTTGTCTCGTGTCATGCCACAGGGACGTTTGGGAAGTGCCGTTATGTTTACTACGGTAGGCACTCAGAGGGCAACCGGTTCATCCGGAACAACGACCTCTAATGCAGAACACCGGCATCAGGGAGTTTGTTTTTATCCAGATCTTGAAGAAGCTGTGCTGGAGTGGTTACTCAAATTCTTTCTCTCTGTTTCAAAAGTTTTTTCACTTGTATATAACCTGATTCAAAGGAAATGAGAAGATTGATCCTTGGACTCTTTCTTGGGAGGATTCCTTTTGGAATGCATGGTTCCACTGGGGACACAGCATCCCCATTTGAAAGCTTCCTCCAAATGGTCTGTGCCCAAAATGGGATGCGGGAACATGTTGATGGAGCGCTAGCATTCCAACGGGAAAGATCCAGCAGAACGAGAATGTTTGCCTTTTTTTTCAGTGCTCCCTTAGCATAACCCTTCCTATTGCACATGCGAGTACTCTTCATTACCTCACCACATGCTTGAAACATGTCACATGTGAGCACCAACTTGGCTGTGATTGTATAAAACATCCTTGGTGATGTTGGGGCTGGTTGTAGATTACACCAACAGACATGTAGTGAGGACTATTATGGTAAGTATATATCTAGCTAAAAGGCTATATTATTCAAGATACCTCCAGATAGCTGTCTAGATTGTCAGACTTCCAAGTTAAAGAATGGTTCAATTCTGCATCTTGCTTTGCATTCCACCAATCAGAGTCATCATTAGCTCCAATGCCCACTTACTCCATTTAATTAAGAAGCTGTCCTCAGTGCTTCAGTAAGTTTTTTGATGTGCATCAGTAGTTGCTCTGTTTAGTCCAGAAAGCTTTATGCTTGGCTTATACTCTTTCTTTTATTCATATTTTTGTCTTTGGTTTGAAATTCATCACTGAAAGTTCTTTTAGATTTTGTCCATAATCTCTTTTTTAGCTGTATGATCGCGAAGGTAACTGGTGCACTTGTTCAACGATGTTGTGTCCACTACTTCAATACTGCAATACTGACAGAATTTCTTCATGTAACAAACTTGTGGTGAATAAGCCTTTTGCGAGTTAAATTTAAATACAATCTGGTACACAGAGTTATCTGATTGCACATAAACACAACAATTTGAATTCTCCAGACTAAAGACACTGTTGCTATACCTCATGATTCAGGGCAAGCTTTTTCATAGCGACCACCATCTCTGGAATGGACTGGTTCCTTTGTGCCCTTCTTATCCATTGAGAACAATGTATTGAGGCAAGGCGTCTCTTATGTAACTAAGCAAAATATTGCCCAGAGCTACAAGGTATAGCAACAGTGTCTTTAGTGTGGAGAATTCAATTGTTATGTTTACGGGAATTTAAAGAGTACTCAGGGTACTGCAACTCGCAAAAGGCGTATTTTCATGAAGTCCTGCATTGAAATGGGAGTGAGGCTGCACTTGCAAAATAGGGCTGTTCAGTTAGTTAGGAGTGCTGCAGAATGGCACTCCCTCTATGGGTAACAAAAAAAGTCAAACTTGGCACCTTGTGACCGTACAACCAGACTTTGAATTGAAACTTTGTTGTACATTTGCTGTGACCAAGTGCATGTCCGTTTATACACCAGTGTTGAAGTCGGTCCATCACAATTTCCATTTTGAGCACCTAGCTGGACCAAGAAAGGGCGCAATTTTCCTAGCAAAGCAGGTTCCTTAGGTTGGAACTACACTACGTTGGTTCACGAATTACTACGAAATGCACGCGCTGCGGTTGCATCGCTACTACAAAATGAACGTTCCTGACCGTTGCGGCTCTTTCAAACCGACGAGGGGGTGCTTCTGCTCAAGGCAGATCCGTCTGGTTACAAGTCCTCTCACGAGACGGGATGAATAGCTAGAAGGGGATACTTTTGGCACAGTTCATTTGAAATGATTGTGACTTGGCTTAGATCTGGATGATTTGTGATGGCCTTGTGATGGGGTCGACTGCAACCTTGGAATGCACACAAATGTGTACCTGCACACAAGTGTGGTTGGCAAACAGGATGGCATTCCATGAGGAAAGTCTTGTGAATGTTGAAAGGTTGCAATTGCAGCCTCTCTCTCAACCTGACCAAGTCAAGAGCCCCTTGAACAAGTTTTTATCCACCCCCCACAGGCTCTCCTGTCAAAATGGTTAACCTCCACTGGTAATATTACACTGCACTTAATAACAATTTGAAGGTTAGAACCAGTGGTAGATGTCACCTCTGGAAACCTACCTAACGATTTTTTATTCCTTTTTAGTAGTTCAAGTTTTAACTAAGGGTTATCTGGGTTAAATTTGAAATTCTTTGACACTTTCATTATTACAACTTATTTCTCTTTGTTGTAATTATCTATTATAATCAAGATGCTATTCGTATTTATAAAAGTTAATGCAGCAATGCACCAGTATTTATTAAGAAATTAATGTTTTTGAAAATTATTTTTGATACATACGAATTATTACTAAAGTTGTACGTGATTCAATGGCATCTGATTTGCCGGTTAAGTGTTGGGTTCAACAGTTTTCACTCCCTAGAGAGGGGTACACTTGCCCACCTCTGGATGGCAGCAGACTCGCATGAGCTGGCCATGACAACAGGGTGTTGCCGTTTCCCAGACCTCTGCTTGGTTTTTCGATTTGGCCTCAGAATCAGTCAGAAGCCTCTAAGAGAGCTCGAAATTCCGACCTCATACCCTAAGATTTGATGTTTGATAACACGAACATTGACAGACTAAATAGTTCCTTTCATAGACATTTTGATGGCTGAAGTTGGAACTTGCAGACTTAAAGGAAGAGCCCTCTTATCATCTACTATGTACGTCTGCACACACCTGCCAGTGGTTCCAATATTCCAAATCGAACTTATTGTATACAGTCATTATTTACGTACCTTGCCAATACATTGGACGACGCGTTTATTCTTCATGTACAGGATTGTAGCACAGTGGTTTTACTGATCATAAATGACCTTTGTACTTTCGTGCGATTGGTTTGTAGCAACACCAAAATCTTTTTTTTTTACCAAACGTTGATGTCTTAAACTGAGACACAAAAACTAGACGAACAGGCTGATTGGTCACTACTACCTTCTCGGATTTCTTCACTTGTCCAATCGATACACTCATCACGGAGATATATGTTTTTGGCTTAAGATTTGACTAATCCCATGTGTAAATAATCCAGGTGATAATACAATGTATGTATCGAGCGATGGGCATTAAATTATAAGTATTCTGTGATTGTATACAAATTGTACATTGCAATATTGTACATGCACATGTACATTGAAATCAGGCAATATAGCAATACCTAGCTTTTGTTGTTTGTGTTTTTGATTTCCTAAAGTACTTTTGTGTCTTTTTGTTCAGAAAAGGTTTAAGATTACCTCGACTTGTCATTGCCGCTGCTAAAATTGCAATTTTATGCTTCAGCGCAAAGTAGGGAATTATTGAGGAAATTCTTTTTTGTACGTTTTATTGATGTGGTTTTGCCTGCGAATGTATTAAGTTAACATTTCTGGCCTTGATCTGAGCTGTGAGACTTTTATAAGATTCATGTCTTCCTTTTGCGAGGCGTTGGTAGAAGGATCTCAGCGTTTGTTCTCAGACTGACTTTAAAGACGCCGGATAGGACCACATACAGCAAATATATAAGACATATAGGCCTAGTGGCATTGTGTACGTCATTTCACCATGGCGATAATTTAAATGTCACGTTTCAGACGTTCAGCTTGGCCAAGAGGATGGTGCGATTTTGTGGATTGAAAATTCGCGTTTTCCAGCGTGTGGTCGAGCAGGCGATCATAATTTTAAATAGCCGCGTCTCGTGGTTGTGCATAATTATGACATTGTGCAACGCACTGGTTCACGCCTTCCTGTTTCAATACGGCCTATCAAATCAACAGGGGGCGTGCTCATAGTACTCAAGACATTAATCAAGACACATGTACAATTCATAGTTTGAATATAAAAAAGTCCATTTTATTGGAAAAAAGTGTCGACACCAATAAACTATTGTAATTTCCAACAATCCCAAAAAGTCAGTGTCACTGTATGCACATTTCTGTCAAACATGAATTTCTAATAATCGACGTAACTACTGTCACATAGGCCTAAAGGAAAACGACGTCAAAATACTTCTTTGTTTGGGGGCATTGCTTCGTTAAAACAGATGGTGGGTACATCAGAGCTCGTGGCCAGGATGTATGAGCTTCCTACATATTTTAACATCGATGGGAAGCATCAGACGCAGTAAAGGAGCATCCAGGCCACGCCCCTGCCCTGCCCAATGGTCTCCTTTAAACAATCATAGCCGTTATAAAGCCAACGCGTGTACAGAATTTTGACACACAAGTGATGTACAGATACTGCATTTTATGCTTTCTCTGGATTCAACGTGGAATATTAAAACTGAATAACAGAAAAATAGTATTCGTATAAGAGAATCGGAAAGGATTTCAAAATCACCTACAACTCCCATCAAACAACACCTGTTTACATTATATGAAAGGAAGTACCTTTTATTTTCACCTAAATTTTGGAAAATCACTCGTACAAAAATACCTAATAACACCACCCTTATTTGTAGACTTGATTTGTTTTGCACACTTGCTACTTTTATTTCTCGATATCAATGACTGTCCAGCAGCTTCCATGTGTACTTCGACATGGTCGCTGGTGCTGTTTTTTATCGTCACTGACTCTCTCTTACAACACATGTCTAAAACTCCGTCACTGCTGCATCGAACAGCACAAGAATTATTTGCACCGTATACGTCACATATCTCCCTCAATTCTTTGTGCTCCGCCATCTTGGAGGCATCGTGCCTCTTTGGGCTTAATGAGTGCAACACCTCTAGGTAATATACACACATTTAGACGTGCTGGTACATGCAGAATAATTATGTACATATATATGTAGTTGTGCAAAATGTCTGTTTCGGACACGACCTGATATCGAAGATGGTGGATTGAAAAGGCTGCTGGGAAATGTATAACATCAAAATAAACAAGGAATCGCGGAACAAAATCTTGCCTTCAAAGAGCATTGCTGTAACTGCACGGTCCTCTTGTCACTAATTTGGTGTCAGCACAACTTAGTATATACATTCATCACAGTGCAAAGGAGCCATTCACATCACCTTCACCAGAAGCACCATGCCGTTCATTGTTTACACCATCTTCTCTCAGTAATGCCCAATCACCATCCCTTCTCGATAGTCTTCCCATCAACACCATTATAACTATCTCCAATATAGCCATCTCACCAATCACCACCAGAACCAACACAACAACCACCAACCTCCCTCTTCCTGCAGTACTGTTTCAGAATCCGTTATTTCTTCACTAAGCTTTCGAAGGTCTTCAAACGAGTCTCATTTTCAGTCGCCGCCATTGTGTTAACTGTTTTCCTTGACTTCATTTATACCGTATGTTTCACATAAAAGTTTTTACTTTTCTTTCCCTTTAATAGTAGGATCCATGGGTTGCATTTGCTTTACCCTGAACGGCAAAGCAAGCTCTGTCCCTTTGTACAAACTTTGGATAATTATTCACTGCACTGTTTCCCATTCACGAATTCTCATGAACAATTTTTATCAGTCGATGCTCTTATGAAATAACCACAACACAAACTCCCCACATAGACGTTTTCAAGTGCTGCCGTTATTGGCGTTCACGCCATGGCCACATAATATCTTATTGATTCCCATTTTAAACGCTGGGCCAATTATTCTCAACAATTACCACTCTTTTTAGGCTCAACAAACAACAGATCATCAGCACTGATACCTTTCATTCCCTCGATCCTCGACTCGATGGTCATGCTATGATGTCAAGCCGTATTCTCAATGAGCATTCTGTACGGCTACAGCTATCATTTAGAGAACTGCAGTGCGTAATCGCAAAAGTCGAAGTCGTAGCCACTTGCACCCTGAATCAAACCCTACAGCCTTACAGAGATGGCGATCCGTACGGAACTTGCGTGGACTGGGACTTTGGGTGCACAGGTCTCTGATTGTCATCAATATCGATGCTATCATCCGTAGCAGCGCCATATTCTCACAACCGCTATCTTCAATATCCTTCGTGCCATTCAGGCGATCCTCGCGGTATGCAGCCTGTTACAGTCTTCATCAATTATTTATCCACCAAAATAACAGCTTTACAGTTCTACCATTACTGTCGTAACCGGAAAGCAGCTGCATCACACTATAACACGTACTACCCAACAACCACCCTACCACTACATCTTTGCCCTGTCACCACTCCACTCTACAACAGCCGCTGCCATCATAACAAACTCAAAGAAAAACCCTCGGACATCATGAACGTCATGAATTCTCACCCGAACCACGCCACTACATCAGGTAAAAAACACCATCGAAATAAAAAACCCACAAACACCATTCCACGATCATTGCACTTTACACCTAGCTATTCCTCCCAAGCATGACCATGAGCAAAGACACGCGCCACATCACGAAATATCTTTGACTTCAATGTCGCACGTCACACACCGTCTTCCCCATTTATCACTCATAGGGCTTTCTCAACAGAGACCCAAAAAAAAAAAGAAAAAAGAAAAAAGAAATCACTTGCTTCCTTCGGCTTGCCTCAGAAATTTTCGCCATGGGTAGCTGGACTAATCTACGGAAGAGTATTGTTGCCAACGCGAAAAACATATTTTATCTCGTTTAACGACTTATTATCTCGTTTAAACGACATAGATATCTCCTTAAATGACATAGTTATTTCCTTTAAATGACATAGTTATCTCATTAAAACGGCACAGTTATCTCCTTTAAACGTCATAATTATCTCCTTTAAACGTCATAATTATCTCCTTTAAACGTTATAGTTATCTCCTTTAAACGACCTAGTATCTCTTTTAAACGTCATAGTTTTCTCCTTTAAATGACATAGTTATCTCCTTTAACTAAGTTTTTCGCATTGGCAGCAATACGCTTCCGTACTAATCTTAGTGAGTGACAACGCCAAAGCGTACAGGGAATACCAAGCAACAGAATCAAAACCCCAAAGAATTAACACGGGGCTAGAAGTCACCGAGAGAGAGAGAGAGAGAGAGAGAGAGAGAGGGGTGTCAGTAAGAATGCATGATGTGATTATTCAAGAAAGATATGCCCGTACCTATTCTCCCTCCGAACGCTAATCGGGGCCCTCCTGCCTTAATCAGGTTTGCTTCGACCCACACAAGTCTTTGATCCTGCGCTGGTCCTTTCTCTTCTTAAAATTATAATAGCCGTTTCAAATCTCCGTACGTATTATTAAGTAACGTTCATTTCCATGGCAAATCCAACAACAGTTTTGCGTCACCTATAGTGGTGTCTACTGCTTTGAATCCCAAGCATGAAGAAGTAGTGTCCACGTGCGAGGAGCTGTTTGCAGATGGTGCTGACCATGCGTAAAATTGCTAATTTTCAAGCGCTTTTAACTTTCAACCAAACCACATGGAATGTGTACAAAATGTACACTCATCATACCCTGGTGAGGAGGAATAATGTATGTCTCCCCCAGGAAACATGAATCATAAGGTGAAGAGGTACGCGTCACAGACACCAGCTTGTTTGCTCACCTCACATTTTGATGGCCCTATGTGTCTTGGAAACGGATGCGATCTTCGTATACTCTCCCTTAATTAAGAAACCAATCTGTCATTGGTATCATCCCTGTCTGCTTGAATACATTCCAATTATGCACTCAGACAATTTTATTTTAAATCCAAAAGTTTAAACAAAGTTAACTGGGCACTATAAGAAACGAAAAGCTTTGTTCAACTCATAAAATCGTCCAATAATGCCCCTGGAGTTCCTCAGACTACACTACTCCCTTTATGAAATTACTGACAAGATACATTTTGTAGTTTTTTGTTCAGGTTTTGATTGTATAGGTTAATTCCCTTTGAGATAAACCTCATTAAATTGATTGTAAATGTGATATTTACAAAACCGTCCCTTATTCTAGTATTGCACCAAGTGACGTGGAATGATTTCGAAAGGAGCTACGCACGCGGTTGCTGAATATCTCGTTCGAATCAAAACTCGAAATCAGATCTTCCTCATGTCTCATCCCCTAGCAGTTCGCTCTTATGGAAACAAATCAGCGCATTCCCCTTTGGAAGTTTGACAACCATCCTCCCACCTTCCCTGCGATTTTAATTAGGCCATCTTGAATAAAGGTCGGCCGTGGGGAATGGAGATATTAGAACGCAGCAATAACCATGCTGAAATCCCGCGCCACCAGGAGGTGATACATGGAAGTCGTGTGGCGTTCAGTCCCTGCGAACCACTCCAGATTGTCTCTCCACAATTCAGAACAGCTGTTGACGGCGGAGTCGACTGATAGCAAATCTCATGCGGGTTCCGAGCACTCATGTTCACATCCACTCTCCAGCTTCAAATTTCTCCCTCATCTCATCCATGCCTCTCTCCCCCTCGTCCAGAGTTCGAGACTCTTGAAATTGATACATGAAATGCGCTGCTCCCGCTGGGAACGAGTTCCGCGTGGAGTCTTGTGACATTCTTCATCTTTCCCCCTATCAAGCAATATGTCTAAACACAATTCCGACGTCACCGGTTCGGGTATGGGTGAGCGTCAACAGCAATCACCTTTCAGGGCCCGCGAGGAATATCTCCCGCATTTAAACTTTATCCTCTCCTATTTCTGACACATTTTTACCATCTGCTGACTCATTCTTCCGTTAAAACACATTAACGAATCAAAACAATAATTGGAAAAGGGGGAGAAGGGAGCAATATTGACAACCAAAAACCTGCAAAGAAAGACCCAGGCTCTCAATTTAAAATAACTTATACTCCTTGGAGTCTGCTTACCCTATGGGCAGTGATGGGCAAATTTGGAGAAGATAGCCGCCTGAACTCCGACTCCAAATTGTAAGAGGTGGTTCAACTCAGAAGACAGGATGAAAACATGTTTCGAATCAAAGCGACGCAAACAGGGAAAGTGAGTAGACTGCATGTACTCATGCCAATGTGCATGAAAAGCAAGGAGACCGCATTTACTGCCGACCTTTCCAACGATGGCAATATGAGAACTTGTTTTCAGTCGCTAACAACGAATAAAAAGGATCTTCATATCTATCGTTGCGTAACAAAAAAAGGCCTTTGAGATTTGAGGCAACACACAGTTGCGCAAACAGTAACAACAAAAGCGCTCATCTCTACTCTTAAAAATGTCTCTTTATTTTCGTGTCATCCATTCCCCACGTCTCTCTTCTTACTCCATGTTTTGTTTCTGTCCATCACGTTTTCACCCTCTGAACATCTCAAGAGTTGTTTGCTCTGAACACACAAAGAAGCCCACATCCCCTCAACTACGTGTTCAAAACAAAATCGCGATGAAAAAATCTGTCTTTACTATAAAATGATACATGCAACAACTCCCATGACAGAACGTTCCTTAATACTGGACCAGTCAGATATTATTTTTTCTACTTTAAAACAAGTAAACTTCGTAGATTTATGATAAGCACTGGACAAAAACATGTAGTAAGCTAAGAATCGATATTTACATTGAAAGATTCAGATATTCTCTTGGCATCAGAAAATGATTAAAAATTTTAACTTCTTTTTGCTTCTGTTTACGTATGCGTTGTTCCATTTGAAAGTGGTAATGAAGATGATTGCTTTTCCAGAGCTTCCTTTTTTGTTTTGAAATTTTACCCAGCATCCAGAACAAGGCTGAATGTTTCTTCAAGGTGAAGACTTTGTTTTCGCGCACTTACAAAGTTAATCCTCAAATCTTCTCTCGTCACGTCTGCATGGGTTAAGTTAGGCTCACAACCGCGCGCTACGTCATCCTGCATCTCCTCATGACGCTTAGGCTAAACTGTGGATGAAGTTAGCTGACAAACACAAAATCCATCTGGCAGAAGGACGTGAAACTTGATCGCCAAGGGATAATCCACCATCTCCGGAGTGTGGACAGCCGTGGCTCTTCCTTCGAACGAATGGTTATCAAGCAACCGCATTTTCATTGACAGATCAGTGCAAGATATCCTCCGCACAATGTCATCATCTAAAGAGATTGATGTTCTAGTTGAAAATCCGCGTCGCCGTCTCCAGAGATAATGCCATTTTGCCAAGGAATAACCGTGGTTTATCCTCGCTTTATCGAAAAAGGAATAGTTGCTAAATATATGTAATTTCACACGGCAATCCGATGGCATTTTGGGCAAAACAAAAAGTCACTTCGATGGCAGGGTATAACTTGTAAGATGCATTGCTTCTCTCCTCAGTGACGATCAACCGGTTCAATTTTTAATTGACCGTATTATTTTCAGTCTCAAGACTTGGAGTTGTTCCCGTCCATTCTTAATTTGTTTTGAAAACTCTTATCAGCAATTCCTTTAATCAAGAAATATTACTGTGTAGAGATAACACTGATACCGCTAACTGCCATCTATATTACCAATACACTAATCCGGAGGAAATGTTGTGTTATTTTCCACATTTCTGATTCGGCAGAGATTAACATTTGTTTTGAGTTTCTTCACAATTATCCAGAAAATATTCACACGGTTTTTAAGTGAGCCAAAAAACGACAAATCATTCATCAAATCGAAATCTGCCAGTGGCGGAGAGAAGGAAAAAAAGAGGCAATGTAATGTTGACGAGTGTGAAGACGATAAGAAGGGCCCGGTCCACCACAGCGGCCGCGTCCCGCCACTCACGGGCAAAATCCTCGTCGGTGTCTTTGGTCCTTTTCCGATCGGTCAGGTAGTCCACGCAGCGAGCCAGCTCACTGACCTCCCGTTCAAGCCGCACAGTGACCCGGCTGGGCTTGTGGTCGCTGCCCAGTTCGATCATCTCTACAGTGCCCTCCAGGGTCATCTCCTCGCTGCCGTTCGTGAAATCGTCGCTCAGGTTTTCCTTGACCGAGGTGGCGCTGTCGTTACCCAGGTACTTGGGGAAGCAGCGCACTTTGGTGAGTAGCCCGTTGTCCTGGCCGTGGTACTTGCGCTTGTTGAGGTGGCGAGTGTAGTACTTGTCCTTTACCTTGTTCTTGGTGAGGTGGGAGCGGTACTTGCACTTACCAACAGCCCTGGCCAGCCAGCCGAAGATGAGCTGGCGGAGAAAAGGCGGCATGGGTACGCTGTTTTGCTCCTTGTGGTAAAGATGAAGCACCCAAACTGACATAAGGACGGACATACCAACCACAGCAATCATGACAACGAAGTATTTCCCTGACAAGTGGAAGAAAAATAGTGTAGTTGTTAGCGAATGAAAGTAATACACGTCTTAAAGGCTGCACGGATATGGCAATAGTGTCTGCTTGTCTGTCGCAGAATGACGCATACCAACGTTATACCTTTCAGTACAAGAAATAATCGGATAAGTTTGAAAGCCTTCAGCTATGGGCCTCGAGCTGGACCAAGAGAGGGCGCTATTTCCTCAGCAGCGGCGGCCCCTTTGGTACTAACTGCGCATCGCTGGTTCACGAACGACTGGGAAACACAAGCGTTGCGTTGCAGTCGCACCGCTACCAACAAAATGAACACTCCCGACAAATACGGTTCTTTTCAACCAATGAGGGGTGCTTCTGCTCAAGGCGGATTGAACTTTTACAATTATCAAGGTAGAAGATTAGAGGCAAATTTATCCAAAAGTAAGCTCCATTTCATATTCATCTTCTGCACTTTAAAGCTTCATCTAAATAAATGAATGATGTCAACACTTAGTCCCCATACTTTCAGGGACAAAAATGATCAAATCCATTGGAAAAAAAGTTTTTCCACAGTTTCACATAAACAGTTTGCAGCCCTTATACTAGGTAGTATAATAAACCATGCCTTGCGCAAGCGCCATACTCCAGAAACTCAAGTTCGGCTGAATATTCATAGCGTAAACAATAGAAAAAATGCCAGCGAGCGCGAAAACACCTGTTGGACATGTTGTTACAACGCGCATTGTTTCTGAATTGTTTAGCAAACTGTGTGCATGATACACGCAATGAATCAGCACAACGAGGGCAACACGACGAACATATAACTGGCCCACTAGAATTAAGTGCGAGCGTTTTTTTTGGGACCCACTTTCTGCTGCCTTTGTATTGCTTCCACTGGATCGGAACATTATATTATCCACTCCCTGAGGTCATATTATCGCTTCAACGATGAGGCTTGAAGGTAAGAAAATCCTTTTCGAAACTGGAGATGGTATTTTTGCCGAAGCAAAGGGAAGTTACATTAAGCCTCATCGAAGGCGTTGCAGGTTTTTTTTCGGCAGCCATTAAGTGCAGGCTGGAGACGAGTGCGAAAACATGCCCTGAGCTAGTTGTGAAGTCTTGCTAAACGCGATCAATAATATCTAGACATGTCCGTCGCTTGCAGTGCCGGCAGAGTTCGATGTGTTGCATGTAGCTCTGGATTATATGAAATGAGATTTGTATCAGTTGTATATAAGAAGGGCCAGTATTAGGTATATTATTCACGGTCCACTTCACTAGTCATTAAAAGTTATCGCTTCCCCTTTCGAGAGAATTACCAAATTCAAATACATGAACAGTTTGCTCATAAAAAAACTCGGCTTGGCACAATGGATATAGTGACTAAACGGACTGCATTACACGCAGGCTTCTTGTTTACTTCAGACGAAAAAAGATCTCCCCTGGCAAAATATATTAGAAAAAGAAAGACCCACAAAATGGAAACTCCCGGAATGTATCATGCTTCGTCCCTGTTGTAACATAAACAAATTCATCTTGTGAGTCTAGACAACCTAGCGTTGATGCAGGATATTGGCTTTTATTATAGCGTGTCTCTTAAGAATAAATAAAACCAATGGACTTGAAAGACAAGCAGCGAGAGTAACCACAGAATACTGAAAGTTACTATAATTTCTCAGGCGCAAAATTTCATTTGGTTTCTGTGGTTAGCGGTATAAATGTGAACGACGTGTATTTGATTTTCGTTGAAGTGAATTGACCACTTGTATTGCATTAATTATTTTGTGTTAGTAAAGGCTTGTTGGTCTAGTGGCATGATTCTCGCTTTGGGTGTGAGAGGTCCCGGGTTCAATTCCGGACAGGCCCCGTCCATTTTTTAATTCCTTAAAATAAAAATTAATGAAAGCCTTTTAAAAAATTATTAAAGACCATCTTTGATTTCCTAATGCGAGAGGGTTGTCCGAATTGAGTAAAATCTTAGGTTAGGATCAATCTGTCAGTGTTTTATAAACGAATAACTATAGATATAACTCAATGATATATAAAGACAAATTCATGATACTCATTTTCAAAGGCTATTAAATCATTTCCTGGGAAGGGTACCAGTGCTTCCTTTCCTGATTGTCAGGTCTACGTTTATGAAAACGGCGAGCGTGTATTCAATTCGGAAAACCTGTGCTCCTCTTCCCTTTGTAAATTTTGCCTGATGTTTACAAAACGTACTGAGTTCAACTTTTAAAAGAAGACAAAATTGAACGACAACCGTATAACAAGTTCAATCACTTGTAATGCTCTGAAATCCTTGATATTTTTGTCTCAAAGCTACAAATATTAGAATGGAAATTTTTCCTTGTTGGAACCTACTGCTGGCCGTACCAGCCGACCGCAAATATTAAATTTTGTCGCACGGAAATCGAGTGAAATGGTGCGAGTTATTAAAACGGTAAGACAATAAGTGCTCCTTTCCATGCGGCACTGGGGCCTCCTCGCTGGGAGAGACAAAACTAATATTCAGCCACACACAGCAGTTATAAAGCAGTTGACTGAATCCTGCGTAAATTAACTCTTGTCACTTCTTAGAAACATTAAAAATACATAATTATTATTTACAAACGTGAAAGAAATCCCCTCGATTTAGTTGAGTCTTATCAGATTTGATCGTGGAATAAAAAAGGAAAAAAAAAGAATTACAAGTATATACACCCGTTCTTGGAAAACTGAAAGTGTAGAGATAATGTAATGTTAGGAACTCATCCGTGGTTGCGTAAGTGATTCATTAATAAGTCTCCTCCTCTTTTTGGAGAAAATGACATTGAGTTAGTCAATTTAACATTGAAATGCCAGTATGAAGATATAGTCATTCGGTGAGAAATGTTAATGCATCTCAATCAAATAACCCTCGTGGATTAAGCCTACAAAATGATACACAAAAGTCGGTGTTATGCTGAGTGTCTTATTAGATTTGTCTCCTGGTTGCTATAGGAACGAATGTTTCTGGTCTTCAAGCAGTTGTTGTGGTATTTGTCGTGATGTGTAATTGCATTTCAAGCAAACAATACAATAGAATGCAGAAAAAAGGCAAATAAAACGAAAGGAACGAACCACGCTACCCAACTTCCCCACTGATTATAATTGAATGGACAGCGGATGTAAACAAATGGACAAAATTTCTTGGCATGCTGCAGACAGGGCAGTCTTTTCTTGTTGGTCGTTTGATATTTTGCAGATTTTTCCCTTTAAGTGTAATAAACTACATTTGAACACTTTCCGTATACCGAAATTTCCCTTTCAAAGGGAATGTTTTTCTGATTTATTGATGTGCATCTGTAGCATAACTTAATGGATGAAACATAAAAGACGAGTAAAAAAGAAACCTGTCGTGTTACCTTGTCATATTAAATGATCATTATACTTTACCTTTATACACTTGATAATCCTCAAATCCTCTGCATAAGAATGTATAGTTTAGGCCTATTCTTTATCGAGACTCAAATCACAGCCTATTTTTCAGTTTTGACCTTCTATTCAACTAATTATATTATGCAGCCAGTGCCCTCAGGGACCATCGACTCCAAAGCACTGGAGGTCGTTTGCAGAGAAAAATAATGAATTTTGAAATAGAAGGATCACCCCTCCTCTCGAGCCCGATCTTGGTTTTGGGGGATGAAAACAAAAGCTGCTACAATTCCCTATGGTGTGGTTGCGAAAAGCCGCCAGCATTGCTTGCAGTACCGGTAGGCGTCATTTAGGTCAAGCAGTTATTGGATTGGTGTTGGTAATGCCACGAGCTTTGTCGTTAGTAGAGTACTAGATATACGTGATACAGTTGGAACTTTTTCTATAGTGACAGTGATTGAAATCGCAACTTAACCCATCAAAATTATTATTTGCCGTAAAGCGGCTCCGCCAAGTTAGAACGGGGGTCAAGCGCCCTCCAGCGTTTGTGTTCTTACAAATCGCTTCTGATGGTGTTATATAACACGCGATGGAAGCACTGCTGACAAGCAACATCTTAGTTGTCCGTAGCAAAATAAGCTTGTGGAAGTTGCAAGTTTCTTTATACTTGTGCCATTGTCCACCCGTGTAATCCTGCGCAACGAGGTGCTCAAATGGCCACTTTAAATTTTGCCCACTATTACGTTAAAATTGTTACTAAACACTGTCCGGCGTAATGCTACCAAGTATTAAATTACATGGAGAGGCAATTCTGCTTGTTTGTGGCTTTTACATTTTGTGGCGTTAACCCATTCCTAAATTGCGGTACATTTCGATTATCCCTTACGGTGCCGTTTGTCATGTGCGTTATAGCAGGTGAACTGGTCTCGTGAGAAATTATAAATCGGGTACATAATGCAAAAAACGTCACTCTTCTGATTTTAAACGCTCATTCCCTTTGTATTAAGACGTCACCGTCTGACTCTAATAGCAGTAAATTTCCCTCCTTGCCAAAGGAAAAGTTTTATGCACACAAGCTCCACTTATCCGGAGCATGAAGGTTTCAGGATCATTATGCTAACAGGAGTGAACTCACCAATGATAGGAAATGTTCCATCCGAGGCTGGTGGTATGGTGGTAATAACCAACTCATTGAAGACAATCAGCGACAGCATAGTGGTGATGGAAAGGTTCATCTTCTCGCCTGATTCCGGGGGTAGGTAGAAGACAAAGATGGACAGGATGGAGATGAGGACGTAGGGTAGGATGATATTGGCCACGTAGAACTCGGGCTTGCGTTCAATGACCAAGGTGTACTCCACATCGGGGAACTTGTGCTTGCAACAGGAGTACTTGATCTTGTGGCTGGCCACCGTCATGTCCAGCAGGTCCCACTCACCGTTAGGCTGGTAGTTGGCCAGCTCCGGCTCAGGCCGGGAGAGTACAATGTCCACGCCCGTCTCGTCAAAGGACCACGAGCCGAATTTCAGCGGGCACCTCTGGGTGTCGAAGGGATAATAGGTCAGGTCCACCTTGCAGTAGCTGATGAAGATGTAAGGGGTGTTAAAGTGCACGTCCCCGTTTGAATGGACGACACACGAAAGACCAAGGTCCCCACTAAGTGGGTTCTGATCTACACTGTAATGTCAGTAGAGTGAAAAAAAAGGTTGAAATCAGTAAAGTGAAGGAACCATTTTCAATGTGCATATTACGTGGATTAACGTGTTAAATGAGGCGCAGTGTTATCTACGGGTCGTTTCCAGGGAAATATGTTAAAACGTATTAATAACATACGGAACAAAATTAACATAATTTACTTTGACAGTTTCTGCTTTAACTGGTTTCTCTAGTTATATTGCGAATTCATATAAGTATGATCTTTAACAAAGACTAACTTTGTAAGTTTCCTGTATTTTATCAACATCCTTAGCACTAAGAAAAACTTCTTTGGATAAACTGTCAGCATTAATGATTCACATCTGTGAAAGTTGTAACTATCAGAGTTTCAGAGAGTCATTAAATTTGGGACGGGTCATTTTAACTTAGCAACTCAGTCGAGTCGAGTCATTTACCCATCGGGACTAGAGTCGAGTCGACTCGAGTCGAATCGCCAAACAAAGCCTACAACTCTGATAGCTGTGCAATAAACGAGTAAATACACAATGGCATTCATAAGCGGGGAGATTTGACATACGTTTCTAGTCAAAAATAATGAAGAGCGATGCATGCCCAAGTGACTAGGCAGAAGAGTAAAATCTTTGATAGTGCAACGCCATATGAGCGAGTAAACCCGATCATCATTGTGGGATCAATCCGGGGGACATTTAATGAAATTCTCAATATCAGTTACAGTGTTTTGGTGTCGCGTTTCTGATTCAATTTCATTTCATGCTCGAATGAAAAGCCAAGGTGAAGAGTCGGGTCTCAAGATAATTCGTCTTTGACTTTTTTGTCCAGCCCTTGGCTTTTAAGAAAATGACTTTCGGAATTGGGTTAGAGCATCCTGCTTGTTATTCTAATTCCCCTGAGAAAAGCAAACAATATTTGTCAATAAGTATGATCACAACATCCTCAAGTCTTTCGCATAAAAAAAAATTAATGTAGTCCGCAATGAAAGGTCAAGTGATCATTTTGCATTGGCTTTTAAGACAATTGAGTTGAACACAAGTTATGCGAACGAAACTAAACGTGTGAACATTTTACACGCATGAAAACCATCTTAAAGTCGCTCTTCATTAATGATACGTCCAATAAGTTTTCTTTGCACTGGTCTTCGAAGAGAGGCTCCACTGGCAAAGCCGTGGTCGCTAGAATGGGCCCCTACGTATTGCAAATGCAAACTCGTCTTTTCCTCTTATATTACATTTCTGTCATGAAGAATCTATCCTCTTCATTATTTCACGCTTTGAAAGTGTCTGTCATATAACTAAAGCTCAAACCATGTATAACTGAATAAAACATTATACGATTTCGTGCTTTCCCCTTTGAAAGTTCATCCAGGCAAACATCGAAATCTCTCTCCCCAATCTGCTTCTTATTATTTTATGTGCTTGTTCAATCACTGAAAATTGATTGGGTGTGACGCACTGACTATAAGCATGTCTTTTGTTGTACCAAAAACACGTTTTGTGTGTGCGTATGGAACATCTCAACAGAAGGAAGAAATTTATTTTTTCTCCTTTCAACTTCATGCAGTATGGGTCGTTAACATATCACCTTGCATAATAGCGTGCACTGTGGTAGAGCTATGTTCCAGTACAAATCTTGAAGAATATACTATTCGCGTTGAAAACGCCAATAAAAGATCCCTGTACTACAGTGAAATGGCTCGATTAAGTTATAAATTTACAGAGAAAAATACGCTTTGGTGTATGTGATGTACTTAATCATACTGGCATTTCAAATTTGTGTGTCCTGGTGTATTCGACGTTTTTTATCGATAGTCTAGTGGAATCCTTTCTAAAGATGAACAAAGAAATTGATCGGAGAGGGATTTGAACCTGCGACCTCCTCTTTGGCATTTTAAGGGCGGGGAACAGGTAGTCCCCTCGCACGTTTCTCGGCACCGTGTTTGAAATAGGTTTAAAAAGAAAATCCTCCTAAGAGACAACTTTTTTGGTAACATTCTGTGTCGTAATTAAACGTCTCTCAGTGACATCCTCACGTCAAAGTTTTCAGAGTCTTCTCCGCAGAATGCCACTGGGAGAGGGGTCAAAATCCTTCCTCCTTTTCTCCGTTACCGTCAGCCAATTATAAAAAGCTCCACCGCCATAAGGATTTGCCGAGGCGGGCCGATTTCAAACACCGAGATGCGTGCGAGGGGACTGCCCGTTCCCCGCCCTTTTAAAATGTCAAGCGAGCTTGCACACCGTACCGGGGGAGCCCTTTCCGGCCAATTGCAGTAATTGTGTCTCGCGCGTAACCAATCATGATAAATTGGCGTGATTAAAATGGAGATTGCAACCTGCCAAAGTGCATCTTTTGTATATTGCGGCAGTGGGCCTGGTGCTGACACGTTGTCAAGCCCTTGGCGCCCTCGCAAATGGGAACTACCCATTCCAACGAATGGGGGGGGGGCACCATCTCCTTGCGAAGATTGAAATTAAATTATTAACGAGTTTTTTATTCATTGTGTTTGTTTTACAGAAAGGGTCACTCCCTTGATGTACCCGACAAACTGAAGCACAAAACAAAAGTAATGATGAACAAATGATCAGCATAACGTTTTCCCACAAGGAAATAACGTAGCGTCTTTTTCCTGTACTGAGGCATCATAATTTTTAGAGCACAGTCTAATATTGTACGTGCATATTTGTTAAACACAAATTCCCTCAAAATATACATAACTTTGTATGTAAAACGTCCTTTCAACGAATGGATCACTTTTACGGCAATAACGGTAATTTTATAATGTGTTTCTGACTGCTTTTCAAATGTTAACGGCAACACAAGTGCTTGTAATGCGCTGGCCGCGTTGTAAGAGAACAATTCTTGTATGTTGCAACGCATCTACTGCAGATTTCATTAGGCGTAAATCCGATAAACGAAAGACTCCCAAGTAGTAATTGTGTTACAAGGAAAGCAATTCTAAGTTAAGTTCATCAGTACTTCTATTTGTCAATTATCACTTTGTTTCGATGAATATTTATGGTGGCAAGATAAGTTGACCTTATTTCAGTCACCGTGTGATAATATGAAGCAACCGTGTTAATACACAACAGTCAGTGATTATGTGATGTTATGAAAACACCGAGTAAGCTATTAAAAAGAACAATTAGTCTCAAATACCGCTAAAACTAAAAGAGATTACTAAAGTTAGATATAAAGCTGCTGTCAAATATGAAAGCGTACATTGTAATTCCCTAAACTTTCTTGATATTATTTTGAGCCTGAGTTGTGAACAGAATAACTTTCAACTGTGGCTGAAATAGGCGCACCTAGGTACCATAGCACATTACCATGCAAGTTGTTAAATAACTGGAGGAATAAGACAAACTAACGAAACACAGAAATCTCCATCAGCCAGAATGGGTAGCCGTTCTCTATTATGGTCAATATGCAAGCCTCGGACCAGGGGGTGGGGGTCAACCTCCTTCCTCCACAACCCCCCCCGAACAAAATAAAAACTATAAATAAACAAAACCAACACAACCAACCCCGACACTCTTCAAAAATTACGCACAGGAAACAAAAAAAAATGGTAATAATAAAAAAGATGACATCATGTAAGGGTTCTTATTTGAGCGTCGGTAAGAATGTAAAGCTTTGCCGGTACATATGTACTCTCCCGACTGTTACAATTGGACACATATGACAGGCCTGCCCCCCCCCCTCCCCTGGACAAAATCCTGAATCTGCCCCTGCATGCAGCCTGCTGAGTTTAACCTGGTGTTAAATTGGCCATTTTGCTCTGACCTACTTTCGGTGTATCGATCCCAACCAGGCTAATCGCCAGGTATTATTGACAGCTCCTTCGTGCAAACTGTCGGTGGCCCATTAGTCACAACTGCACTGCTTTAATCACAGTCTCCGCACGCAGGGCCGATCACTTCCCTCCCTTAAACACACTCTTTCCGCAGAGGACTTCTTTGTTCTGAATTCTTCGGAGGAGGGAAAGGAATCATACGGTTATCAGTGGCCTGTCAGATTGCATCGAAGTGGCAGCCTACGCCTCAGGTTGCTGTCAAAACTAGAGAGGAACCGGCACAATTCAGCAGTGCCTCGGTATATGCGACACTCAAGAGCGAAATTGTCGTTACCGTCTCAGTGCCACACAAAACACTTGCAGGTAAATAAACTGCCCGTCACCTTTTGAGAAAAAAGCTGACTCACAAGTTAGCAAACGCGCTTGTCAAATTAGGAGAGAGTTTCGACGAAATTGTCCCATGATGATGATGCCCGACCAGAATGTCCTATTAATTTCATATAATTACTAATTTGGAATTTAAAAGTCATGCTTCATGGGACAATACAATTCCACATTCGGCATCAACAAATCAGCTGCAACATCTTGGCGAGTTGAGCAATCCTATAACTCTTTTCATTTCTCCAGCTTTCCCGAGGCGACGTTCACTCGCACACTTGACCCCAGCACTTTTACCGCCCCATGTAAAGTTGGCAGACAGCAGATTCCCGCTCCGAAATTAAGTCTTCTTCGCTCGTAATACACAAACAGTGTCTCACGGTTGTGTAAACAGATCTTGCATGATCACCAGTGGATCAATATCGGATTCCTTCATTTTATTTCCAAGTATGGACATCGAAAGGCTAGATATTAACGTCAGCGTTGGCAACGGCTTGCTATACCCTGCTCCACACGCGCAGGTGCTGGAACACAGAAACTCTAACTCCGCTAATGCGGAGGAGATTTCGAAGTATCGCAAAACAGCTGTTTTTCTTGCTGAAATGTGCGGGATAGACTACAAAGCTGTCCGTAAAATTAACGTTGCCTTTTTATCACGCGGCACGAATGTTGGCTATGGGTAGAATGACAAGACATCAGAGGATAAGTAAAGCGTTCTTGGTTTCTATCTGTTGACGTTTTTTATAGATTCAAGTGAAATTCTTATCCGCCTTACGCAATGGACTGTACGCTTTCGCTAAAGTCTTGAACCCTTTTTTAGTTTGATACAATATCAAAAACGAATTATAAAACAAGCTTGCATTATGTATCAGTTGCTAAAGTTGTCAACTAGATTATATTATTCACAACTAGAATTTACATTGGTGTAATGACGTTACAAACAGATATGTCCACAGATGCGCACTATTGAATCAAACATTTTCAACTCAAGCTGCAAATATTTTAAAATCAAGTTTAAGGTCAAGGTAACTGTGCGATTTTTTTCAACAAAGCTGAAAACCTTGGAGGAAATCACTCTGTATATTAAAGAAGCACCAAGGTAGTAACCGACCTCGGGATTGCTTATGTTGACACCTACCAACATTGATACAGAGGGAGAGAGCTTTCTCTCAGAGGCACGTGACATGCTTGAGTGCGTAATCATTTTCGCTATTTGTTCGTGAACCTTGGGACTCTCTTTAAATGTTGGCAGTATTTTTTATTTTTGCAAGACGAACGAAATTCTTGAGTGCAATAGTGAAATCACGAAAAGAAATGACTTTATTTTCAAAGGCTTAGTGCATAAAATCCAGCGTTTTCATAGAGATATTTGCGCACTAGTGACGGTGGTGCCTTTTTTCGCTGATTTAATAGAATGTTAAAATGGATATCAGTCAAGCTTCTTAAAGACCTACTCTGAAACGATTTGTGGTTAAATATATGCTGAACACCTTAATGTTGTAAATTAATTTACAGTTTAATAATTACACGACAATCACGTGCGTCGGAAGACGACACGAAAATAGACTGCAGAAGAATGCATTCAGAAACACATTGCACAAATCAGCCATTGGATTTTGCAATCAGAATGTGCGAATCTGGTATTCATTACATTCATCCTCAAAGTGTTGAGACAAAACGCCCTGTTCCATTCTGGTTACAAAGAGACAGAATTAAACCCGAAGCATTAACTTACATTGCCAGACAGAATGATTGGTGAAAGCAAACATGTAGTTGACGCTGTCGAGTTTGTTTAAGATAGGAAGGACATCGCTATCGTGTCTCCAGAACTGTCTGTGTCACGAACATCATTCTGGTGCATCTCCTTTGTAAAAAAAACCACTCGTCTCTTGCCAGTGCCTCTTGTCAAGTTTGATTTCTTTCAGTGGACACAATTCAAAAACGTTTTACGATGGTGCTGTGGGTAGCCATACACACGATGGGCTTACACAGAGGGTGTTATGAAAATCAATGCATCGTTGCCACCAAGAGTTTGTTATGGAAATCACACATGGAACAGTCGTAGAATCTGATGACGCGACGGCGTTTTGTAGAATGATACATCCTACAGTTTTAAGAGCGTGTTTCATGTGACATGTTTATTTCCGCGGTAGCAACCATTTGTCATTACTAAGGTTGCAAGAGCATATCATTCGACAAAGTTGATATCCATAAAACACATAACACACAATTTATTAATGAATTCGAAAAATGACTAAAATATGAAACAAAAGGAAAGAAAAAAAGCAATGTAAAATATTCCCCAATGTTTCCTTTGTAAGTTTCTCATTCAGGGAACCATATTGAAACAAGTGCTTCACGTTCAAAAGGGGAAAATCCACTCGGAAATGGATAACAAACGAATGCAAGAAAAGTTCACATTCCTTGATACCGGTATATTGGCAACCATAGGTACCGCTGTATCTTTCAAGCACCGTTTAGAATAAGGAGAAAGGCAATGCTTTTACATATGGCCACCAAAACACGATACTCCCTTGGGCTCTACTGGCTGAGAGATTCGCGGAATGTCCAAATTATTTTCTTAATTGGGAGCACTGACATTCCGTTTGCTGTTTTCTCCCGCACAGGGTCACTGCCATGTGGTGTAACGTGCACCCCAATTACCTTGCTCTGCTATCCAACCGTGTTTTCTTAATCCCTTTTATACTGCTATTTATAGTCAAGCTGGTTACCGCAGCGTCTGGTCCTACTTTGAAAAGTGGTTTCAGATTGTAAAGAAGAAAACCGATATTTTCCAAAGACATTTTGGAGAACGTGATGACAGTGTTAGCATGTTTCGGCAGCATTTCTTGGCATGCACATATTATTTTTTAAAAGAGGAAGAGAAATAGATTTGGTATTCAAACATATTTTATAGTTCTCATTTTAAAAACATAATTGAACACTCCTTTTGAATTTCAGTTTTTAATGTTTTCCAGTGCAGTTTCTGACTCAAGAGAACAGTCTCCATAATGATAGAAACAGGCTGTGAGAAACCAAAGTAACATTTAGGGAACATTCTTGAAGAACATTCTAAGAAAATTACGAAAACGAATCCCGCAAAGGGTAACCGTAGACGACGTGAAATTAGTAACTATCTGGCAGAACAAAAAGGCCTTTTATTATCTGGTGCTGAATAAAAATGCAGTGTGGGTGACACACGGTGTCGTTAACGGTACCAAATCTGGGTTGACGGCTTTGGCTGGGTGCAGATAATCCCAGCCCCGTACCCAAGGGGCAGGCACGAACCATTTATTGACGGAAGTGGCGGCAATCACCTGCTAACTTATTATTGCCCTCTCCTCGGATAATATTGACATTCCAAGGAAGACCGCCGGGATATGTTTGAATAGCTCTCCTCCTGTTCTCAGCAGAGCGATGGCTGAGAGCCGGTGTGACTGCTCATCTTCATGGTAGACACAGCTGGTACCCGGCAACAGTACGCTATTTTTATGACGACTGCTGTAACTTTGTAGATGTCAAGATAGACTTGTTCTGTTCTTTTTGTTCCCATTGTTGTTATTCTTGAAAACATCTGCTTAGGGTTATATTTTCCAGATGCGAGTTTCATTTATCCATTCCAATTTTATGCATGATCTGCCTTCTGGAAGGTGGACACACACGTTTACCATAATGTATGTGATTGTGTACTTCCATGCAGAAAGAGAAGTGTTAATCTAAGTTGGGGGTTGAAGAATGCATACCCCCCCCCACACTTATGGCACTTCTGAGGGATTATCGAGACAATACGGGCGATTCACAATAGTGCGCCTCCAATAGTTTGCAACGCGTTCGCCAATCACAACGAGCGAAGTCTGTCGACCCTTGTCGATACATGTGGGCATGAATAAGGCTAAGTCGTTTCAGTATTTCATAAATTGGGATGACATATGACATTATCTGACTTACTGATAAAGGCATTCTTAATTTTGGGGAAATCTAATTCTTCTGTGCGCAATAACAGGGCAAGGGAGATGACGGAACAAAACTATTAGGCCTAGACCTTTGCAATTTTACTGATTGATTAATGGAGCCATCCATTATTTAATGGGTCCAAAGTCGAAGGTTTGTAGCTTAAACGACTATGATTGGAAAATGAGTCAGTCGGCCGCAGATTTTCATCATAAGTGCACAAATTCAATACCAGTGGAACGCTTTCCGTCATCCAGTCTATTTGGCTTAGCCTGCCACCTTGATACACCCGCGTGTATAGAGGGATCCCAATACGACGCTTTTAGCGTCGATCTGCGCACTTCCGCGTTTGAAAACGAGGCTGTATGTGTAAGCTTCAATTCTTAATACGATCAGACGATTGAAAGTAAGGAGTCAAGACACAAAATACATAAAGGTATGTTAAATTCAGACTTTTTAGGCTGCAAATTTGTGTGGATGACTCTTTCAGGACGACTCGACACGTAAAATCGAAAGAAAAAATAACAGTTGACCGCAAACTAACGTATCTGCTATGATCGTGTATCTTAAACTGAAGTGGCGTCACACTTACGAACCGGATACTCCATGTACTGTGTGGACTCCGCGGGCGCGAGGAAGTTCAACACAGAGAGCCTCGTTTTCGAGGCAGATATGCGCAGACGGCCCTAATGTGAAATCCCTCTGTGGCTTCCCATTTATATGCATGATGTTAGCGCATATACGTCACCGACTACCGGGAGCGAAAACGAAGTTTGTCGTATCTTCCGGTTATTACCACTCTGATATGCCACAACTTTTTCTCAGATTCGATTAAAATAATAAGTTGTATGGTTGGAATGCCATAGCAACAAACAGAATGCTCAAATCGCTATGCTACCCAATGCGTTAACTTGAAACCATACGTTTTTATGGGCAAGCTGTTTTTACAAAATACAATTTGTCGCTGGAGATTTCAGGTAACGATTTTATTCAGTAAATGTGTTTGAAACCTTGAATATGTAGATGCTATATCAATGTACTTGGGTTTATAAGAAAAGTACTCGTAAAGATATCTTGAATGTTAGGAATGGAACATAATTTGTCCTGGCTGGTCTCAGTGCTCACCTCTGGTAGAGGACTATGTCAGGTTTCCACAGCATATTCGCTGGTATCCGCACCACTGCTGTTCCGTTGAACTTCTCTGGATCCCACGTGAGAAATTCGTCTAGCCAGCTCTACATATATCAAAAGGAATAACAAATTCTGTTTAAGTTTGCTTTAATTGAGACCTGCTGCATTATAGCCTGTGCAGCAAGACTTAACCAAGTATTTTGCCAAAGGTACGACCAGATGTGGTATTTCTTCAAGTTATTACCAACGGCTTTTAATTAAAGTTCAGTTTCCCTCTCATGTTTCCCGAAACTCCTTAATGAAGAATATTATGCGTAACTCATGTTGCCTTACCATTCTTAACCAAACATTAACTGCTAGCTGCTGTTTCACCTCATCCTGTGAGGGAAGAAAACAAACAAAGAAGAGATTTGAAAAAAAATCTACAACAAAATATTAGTCCTTAGTTATTACGTAGCCTTAGCCTCGTGAGAAGGCCTAAACACCATGAAGCGTGCGACCAAAAAGAATATAGGCTTATTTTGCGACTACATGTATTTCTGCTCAATGTGATAAAGTAAACGAACCACTCCCAAAATCTATTAAACAAATTTATTTAGCTCTTTCAGTGGGATCCACTTGCACTGCGTGTACGGTATGGACCTATGGACATGATTACATTACATGACCTATTACATGATTGACCTACAGACTATAAATGAGATGCAACCTCTAGACGGACGCTGGACAAGTCCCAAAAGTGTGTAAATCAGTTGAAGTCACCAGTGCAGCGGAACAGATTGTTGAATATGATCCCCAATTACATTCCTTAATTATGTCCAGATTTAAGCATCATGGGACGGGCATGGACGACCCCTGTAATTACAAGTGGGGCCTTAACAAATTGGGGAGCAAATCTAAACGCTATGGCACACTAAAATAGAAGCCGAGATAAAAGGACAACGGGGTGGAAATATATCAAGAGTCAAAGCCAGGCTATATCGTGGATAAGGTTTGAGCGCCAGGTGTCGCATAGATTGTATCGATGAGTCTCGGTGATGAGAAATAGCCTTTTGGTGTGACGACTATTTGACGACTATTTGATGTCGCCAAAGTTCAGGAACTAGCTGCGTCTGCATATGCGGAACAACTTTGTATCCTCGATATGGCACGTTCGTCTTTAAGAAGATATGATTACACATAGTGCGGGTGCTTCAGGTATACGCATGTACGGCGGTAGTTTGATTACTTCCTCTTACAGACGAACGTGTTTATCTGTATTGTGTAGCATTGTTTCGTGATATGCCAAAACTACGAGTATTTGAGGTATTTTGTTCGAACTGGTACTTTTATGACCCAAATGGGTAACTAGTATTATAGGTTCGTCGACTGCCAAAAAGTAGTCGGTCCTACATGCATTTCGATTAAAACCCTCCTTTTGCTGTAACAGTCACAGACAGTCAAAAGTTCCTTCCACTTCTCCCTGTACAGTACTTATACATATATGTCACTTGACTGATTTTGACTGATACGACAAATGTGTTAAGAATGCATCTTTGCATTATTAGGCCTACAAGGGCCGACTTTGTTGAAAAATAAGCAGTGTCACGGTGAACTCTCGTCTTCAGCAATGTCGTGTGTTAGTGACTGCCGGCTATCTGACATGATTGAAGGGTATTAAGGAGATTCATGGTTTCTCCCTAGACCTCCATGTGAAATTTTGTTAGAGAGACGTAGGGTAATATCAACCAAGTGCTTAGCAATCTGGCAGTATGTCTCTTTTCAAGACAGTGCTTGCGATGAAATGCTCTATTTTCTGCTAAATGCGTAATACCTCGAAAAGCAACAGAATGGCCAGAAACCAATCGGGGAACCGTGCAAAAAGACGTATCGAAGATGAACAGAGATAAAACTCTTTAGGAATGAAGGCCATTGTTGACAGAATACCTTTCTGGTAGACATCTAGGCCTAAGTGTACCCAATCAAACCCTCGAATCCGACTAGTGCACTTTCACGCTACGTGACGTACGCCTTGAATATCCGTCGGCAAGTCGATGAGCTAGCCAGAGGGGTCGTGAGTGTGATGAGAGGCTCACGATCCTCGCTGTTTGTTTCGACCCAGCGGTCGACATGGGGTCAGAAATCAGCCACTGACAGCTTCCCCCTGCCCGATGTAAAAACATCCCCTTGTTGACGTAACCGTAAAGACGACAGGGTTGATAACTGGCCCGAGAACGGTCCTGCGAGAGTACAGTGCTCCTTGCCCTTTATTTTCTGATTTGATCAGTCCCGTCGAACAATATTTATACTCCATCATCGTTTTTGGAAGATCGATAGGCAATCTTCTTTAACTGTTCATTCCACTCCAACTATCGATCGCCACCCGTCAATAATAAAAGAACGCGAATCAAACGCCTCCCGCTGACTCAAAAACAACCTCATTCTTTTACGACAGATGCACAAAAGGAATCCGTCTATGAAGTTTGAATAGATTCTATGGCGAAAAATCTTTGCAAATTCTATTGTTACCTCAGTACTTCAGCAACTGTTCTCAACAACAAGCCTGTAATTTTCGCCCGTAGAAGATCTGTGATTGTTTTCTCTTCTTTGTTCTTTTCAGCTTGTCATCTGATGAGATATTGAGGAAAATTGTTCCTTTAAAGTATTTTGTCATATTTAAGATGCTGATCTAATGTTCTTTTAAGTTCATGTTATGATTGATAAAGCTCTGTTCCTTTGTGTTTGTTTGCTAGTTCGCAAATTTAACTTTGCTGTCGACGTATGATCTCTTGTTATTTTCTTCGTATGACTTTTCATTCCACCATTCATCTTACACTGCAAAAACACATTTGATTGGCGAATCGGTCGATCTAAATCTTTTAAACAGTTTGTCAGTGACATTGAATAAACATGCTGACTTAGAAATGCACCTTTACATAACGAATAACTGGCTGAAAGGAAATCAGGACGGGTCATCCAGGAGAGTCTGGGTAGCATATGTCCTCGCTCTCGCCTTGTTTTTCATTTAGAGATTCTGGGACAACAAATAAGTAATTAAAGGCGTCCAACGGCAAGAAACAGCCGAGTGGTTCTGGTAACCCAATTAACAGACCCCTATGGCCCAGGGCCAGTTGTGTTCTGACAGGACGGTCAGCAGCGAAATTTGTGTAGCAGACTACTCCAAACGCCATTATGCATGCAATGTAGGATTTTAAGAGTCTTGACATTGAAGGAACTGAAGAACTGTAAAATAATCGTGATTTTGTATTTTTCGCATTTTGGCAAAACATTTAGGAATGTGCTTATTATTTGACGCAGTTGTTTTGCTGCCACGTTGCTGTTGACATATGTTTCTTTTCACCAGATTTGAGAATTTTGCTGCTCATACGAGATACTTTGTTGAGAGTAAAGTGGTTAAAACGAGATTATTATATTGTTCCAACAAATTATGAGGAACATTTATGGCAGCTGTTTGCTTTCCCAATTCGGCAAATGAGCAGATGGTGCCGTATTCAACTGATTAGGCCTACTTTTCAGTTTGAATTTTAGGCATGATCGTTTTGGTAGAATGCCACCGTAATATTTTACCAAATAGTTTATAAATTGAACAGAAAGTATTATGGAAAGAACAAACCTCCACGGTGTATAGATTCGTTGTCTCAATAATGAATATTTTCCTAACTTATTTGTTTCTTTTGAGATTTGAGGGATTGTGTTAATTAGTGTAAATGTTACAATTTAGTCTGACATTCAGCAGGAATACATCAAAATAGAATCGAGGGCATTTCCATGTGTAATTGAGGCAGTTTACCCCGCAACCCCTCTCAACAATTTGTACTCTACTATGTAATTCGCGCTCTTATTCGCGGTAAGTTAAAGCCTTGCAGACAACGTTAGAATATCGAATGCAGCTCTAGATCTAGCCGAGTTGAATATCCTAAAGCCGCTTCAAACGGGACACAAGCCTATGGTATTTTGTGTAGTCACTCCCAACTGACCACGCAAAGCCCGCGGACGTCATTAATTAAGTTGGATAAAGCACGAAAAAACATACCTCAAATCTGCAGTGAGGCTGTTCAGGACCAACAGAAAATAGCTCCAGGTCCCGACGACCCAGGCACAGTTATGTTGCCACTCATTTCAAATTACCCTGTAATGAGCGTTGCGTTTTGCCGGTGTGATCTGAAATCCGCGCGATGCTTTTCCCCTATGGGGAAGGTTTTGACCGGGCTGTAAATAATACGTTACTGTTTAATTAGAAGGGGCCGGTAAGGGCTGATTCACTTCAACTGTTAAGGAAAGGTGAAAGCACAAACACACTGAGTTTTTTGATATTCAAAGAATGCGTGGTTTAACAAACTCATGCTTTATAATAATCTACTTGCGACGCAGAGTGCTTCAGTTGCGTGCATTTTTTTTTAAACGGCGTATTCTAACCTAGCCGTTGTTATTTAGTTCTATCTTAATTTTGTGACTAGCTATTATTTGTCACCTGAAAATTACCCAAAGAGTTGATTTACCATGTCTTGGTTTCTGCACGTACTAGTCAAACCACTTTATGAGCTTATTTTTCAACCCTTCAACTCGTATGTCTTCATGAAACAGAACATACGCGTCTGGTTTCTCAGCTTTGCCGCGAACTCTTTTTACGACAGAGAAAGAGTTTTTCCCGCTTCGACTTGACCAAATAACTCAGTTGCATTGCACAATATAACCATTTGTCAAGGTATCGTCAACATGTGTGTGTTCTTGAAAAAATTCGGTCAGCAGTACAGTCACACTTGCGCTCGTCAGCAGCAGCCAGATACGCAGGGCGGTGGCTTGTTTCTGCTCTTCACCGGGCGAATTAGCCCGGCTCTTGCGGCTCTCTTGAAAGCGCGCTCCGAGCGGTTTGTGCGTTTAATATTGAACATGTGACTGTTTCATGCTCCTTTTCTATCGTGGACAGACCAAGTAGGCAAGGGGGTAATCATTATTCATAGTTGCATTATGTTTATAATTCAGACAAAAATGTGACATTAAGGAGAAGGGAGGGCCTCATGTATTTATCATTTGAAATTTAGACGAAAATGTGTGAAATATTGCTTTTGGTCCATCTACAATTTTTGCTGAAATTCTCTTACCCTACAACTATCCACGGCAATTGCTCACGACAGTCACAGAACAGTCGTCCGTTTTGCAGGCCCCTTCCCACACAACAGCAACCCTCCCAGCAGTCCGTATAGTTACGGGCCGGAATTCCTTCCTCTTTTGCCGCCAAATGTATTTAATTTTACGCGCGACAAAGCAATTTTCCCGCACTTTTCTCCGTCCGTTCATTCCAGAGATGCGCCTCGGGCCACTGGCGATTCTGATTCTGGTGTACAGACCTCCCTCTTTGCGTCCATCCTCTTGTATCT